TAGCTATTTCTTTAAATACCGCCCATTTTTGGGAGCGAGCAGCATTCGAAATTTTTTTGTCAATACAAACGTACGATCCCTTAACAGGGATTTTTAATTTTCACCCCCTCCTCTCTTTGGAGAGACGGAGTTTTTTTTTGTCTGTTTGAATACATGACGGAGATGTTACACATCCTTTTCTTACACCCCCCATGGGTGCTTGTGAGCTGTCGATCTCGGCCGTGATGAAATCCTTTCTTCGCCATGCAGATGTTTTGAAAAGATGACTCCAGCGGCATCCCACTCCCGCGTTCCATGAGTCTTGGTTACATCTCGAATGAAAATGCCAAATGTGATTTGAAGAAGCGGTCCATAGTCCTCCACTGATGGCCTACCCTTTCCAATCATGTGCCAGAAGTTAGTATGCTGATTTTATAGTTGTTTTTTGTGGCTGTCCCCCCTTCGATGTCATGCTCTACTATAATCCAATTTAACAAACCATCTGCTGATGTTAAAAAAAAAAAACGAACATTTGTTTGATCAACCAGAACTCATTTATTCTGTGTCCTTTTTAAGAACATTATTGCTTTCCAACATTTTAGACATCCCAAGGTAAACCTGCAACAGGTATGTGAAACTCCATTACAAAGACATCTTGATTTTTTTTATTGTGTTTTCTTTTATGTTTTTATCTCTAAGGGTTATTGCTCACATCGCATAAATTTGATTGTTTTTTTAGTTTCGGCCAATCTTTTAAATTAACAACTCTCATATTTTATAACAATCGTGAAATTCTGAAAGACTATGAAAATCAAGACATCATAGAGAAGGTCCCAAAAGACAAAGTACAATCAGATTAACCGCTATTTTATCTACCATTTTCCATGGTTTACAGAGAATCAGTCAGTTCTAGTAAACGAATAGTTTTTGATGCCAGCTCACATGAAGAAGGTGAACTTTCCTTAAATGACTGTTTATACGCAGGACTTAGCCTAAATCCCCTGATATTTTACATGCTTATATTTTTTCGTTTGAATGCTGCGGTGATCTTAGCAGATATCGAAAAAGCGTTCCTTCAAATATCGTTGAATGAGACAGATCGAAATGCAGTGAGATTTCTTTTTCCAAGTTCGAACCCGGCCATAAGTGAGCAATATGACATAAATATTTTTAGATTTTGCAGAGTTCTTTTTGGTGTCAACGCCAGTTCCTTCTTGCTTTCTGCCACTATTAAGGAACATATCAAAAAATATCAAGAGTTGCATCCCGCTACGACGAATATGCTCAATGAATGTCTATATGTCGACGACTTTATAGGAGCTCTCGACGACGTGAAATCTGCCTTTCAGATGTCGGACGAAGCCAAGAAAATTATGGCAGAAGCAAGCATGAATCTGTGTAAATGGAGTTCAAACAGCAAGGAACTGGTACAATTATGGAAAGATTGCGGGTTCGAAACCCATCCCATTCATTCGGAAGCCAATCTTACAGCCAATTTACACAAAGTTCTAGGACTGCCATGGCATGTGCATGAAGACTACATCTCTGTAGATCTGAAAGACTTGCTTAAATTCGATGGAAAAGAAAGCATTACTAAAAGAATTGTTTTAAGATCTATCGGAAAACTGTTCGACATATTGGGTTTTCTTAGTCCGTACACAATAAGACTCAAGTGTTTACTCCAAGACTTGTGGCTTAGAAAGTGTCCGTGGGATACGGAACTTCCACCAGACATTCGCCAACAATTTATTCAGTGGAGGTCTGAGTTGTCTGTCATTTCGAAATTACAAGTTCCTAGAATGATTCTAGACTCCAGTCTAGATGATGCCAAGGTACTTCAAATTCATGTATTTTCGGATGCCAGCCAAAGAGCATAAAGAACAGCAGTGTACCTAAGAGTGAAGTACAGTGACAAAATCACAGTTAATCTTATCGCATCAAAGAGTCGTGTTGCTCTATTAAAGAAACTGACTCTTCCAAAACTAGAACTAATGGGTGCATTACTTGCAACCAGACTCGCCATAGAAATAGAACAGATTGTAAAACGAAAAGGATCCCCAACAGTTCATTTTTGGACAGATTCCCAGATCGCATTGTTCTGGATCAAAGGACCTCATCATAAATGGAAACAGTTTGTTTCCAATCGAGTGAAAGAGATTCAAGCCCTTAGCAATCCTGAATCTTGGTCACACGTTCCCGGTAAACTTAACATTGCTGACATTCTTACGAGAGGAGTTAGTGCAGAAGTTCTTCTGAAAAATGAGGTCTGGTGGTCAGGTCCCGAGTTTCTAAGAAAAGATGAGATTTCAGTGTTTGAGTTATATATATATATATATATATATACCTGTATTTTTCCGCTAACTACTGAATTAACTAATTGAACTAATTGAAATCCAGGTCCTCTTGAAGATTTGTTTCCTATTGCGAAAGGTTTAAAAATATTTTCAATCATTTTGCACCTCCAGATACTTCCGTGACTAGTTTTAAATGAGAGTATCAAACTTTTTTTACGGTTTTATTATTTAACTGATGGATTCAAAATTTATAAATTACGTTCAATAAGAGATTTTTTGAATTGAGGATAAGACACATCTAGTGACCAATTGATTAATATTATTATTTTGTTTATTTACTTTTCAAATAAATGACTGCTACAGCTGCTATTTTCGACGCCATATTTATTTGAAAATGTAGGTGTTAAATTTTCTAATAATCCTATTTTCAAGCTTACTGAATCAACTTTAGAAAAATCAGCATATTTTAAGTAAATGCGGAGTTGCAAACTTAGTTCTTTGAAAATATAACTTGTCAAGTCAATTGTTTAATAATTAATTTTGATTACTTTGCTGTCACAAATCATTCTAAAGCAGTTTTTTTAAGCTATGTGTAAGGCCTACTTTTTTACCGTTTACTTATGCTATTGTGATCGAATCAAAACTCATGATTGAGCAACCATTTTATTTTTAAGAAGTGACTTAACCGGTGGAATGTTTAATATGTTTTTAAATCACTTTGGCTTAATAGATTTCTTTTTCTCCAACCGGTTATATTTAAAAGCATGTACATAGTTATAAATAACACTGGGGAACCTTTTTTTTTTTGGTTTTTCTCCTACTGAGCTACTGATTTTAGATGAAATTTTTAGCTTATTTTTTGACGAAATATACAAGTTTAAAAACGTTGCATAACAAGGGACGAGTAAATGTTGCGACAAACTTCTAAGGGAATTGGGGCACATCATCAAGATTAAAACTGCATTAGAACACATGTTAGGAACGTTCGTTATAAACCGATTAGGGTGCTTCATTATAGTGAACTGCTTCTTTATGTTCTTCTAAACAGTTCATAATACGGAAATGCCCTTAGCAGCGTACGGCCCCATTTCAGAGCATGGGTTCCTATGCAATTTTAACTTATTCGTTTGCCATAATTCGCCTAGAAAATTTGCGCAAAATTTGCGCGATCCTCCGTTATATAAGTTTATTCATTTCGACAAGGAAATAAACTAAAAATTTAATTTAAAAGAATCTGTAGCTTTAGGAGAAAAACTGATTTAAAATTTGATATCCCCACACTCGAATTAGGCAAAATCGAGTATTTGTATAAATGAAACAAAAAATTTATTCCCTATTGTAATTTTCCTTCCTAGTTCTGTCAGATTAAAATGGTCGGAAATTCCCTCCGTATAGAACTTTTGCAATTTTAAGAGCATAATTCCTGTAATAAATATTATTTTTTTTAAAAAATAATTTTCCTTTCTCCCCTATACATTATTTCCCTATCTAATAACATCGGAAAACCGGTTTTGCTATGCGGAGAAGACTGCAGGTTAAATTACGAATTTTTACGTGCAGAACCGTCAGTGAATTAAAATCACCGGATTCGTCTTCTCGCTGGTGTATATTAAATATTACTTATCAACACTATGCATTGGATAGAATGCAATGTTTGGTAAAAGCTGGCTATTGCCTATAGTGGCAAACAAAGAAATAAAGAATGCATTTTCTATAGCATCGTTTGTTCAGCCCTCTGTGTTCCTTAAAAGCAGGGATGCTTCCTCTATAGGGATGTAGAATTAAGATAAAGTGATCTCTGTGTATGAGCCATAATAAGAAATATTTATTACAGATACATCTTCGATTAGCCTGAAGCTATTGTTATCTCGAACAAATAGAAAAATTAGATTGTGATTAAGATGTGGTGAACAATAAACTCTCATTTGTTTCTTAGAGTATAGAGTTTTGGCTAAATTGTTATATTAATTTAAAAATTTTCTTTAATCTTAAGTTTGAAATGCAATTTGCTAGAAAATATTTTTTTTAAAAGCCATGTTTTATTTTAAAAGATTTATCAACTTGTATCTGTACATTTATGACAGAGCCACAACGTTTTTACCTGAATTTCATGATATAAAATATCAATAATCTATAAAAAAAGTTTGTTAAGACTAATCCTGTGATAGAGAGATAAATAATGTTCTAATAGATAACTATGAAAGATAATTCTTTGCATTAATTTTTGGTATATATATAAAATACGGACCGTATAAACAAAAATATACTTCATCAAATTCTCGTTAAATTAAAGCATTACGCAATTGGAATTCCCATTCTAAAATTACGGTAAAATAGCATCAGCAGTCTGTCCACCCAATTAACCGCAAAATTTACGGTTAGGAACATATCTTTACCTTTTTTAGGTTGGAAACAGTTTACAGCGGATATGGTTAAAAAATTACAGCGAATATGGTTAGGGCATTTTTATTTGCTAGGAAATCACATAGTAGGATCTAATTTCCCCCCAATTATTTCCATATTAATTTGGTTGTCATCAGGATAGAGTAAATTAAAGTCATAAAGATATCCTCTCCTATAAAATATTTTTATTCATAGTTGTTAAGAATTGCCACGAGGCGGCGCTC